TAACTTAAAAAACTTCTCGAATATCTTAATTGCAATTGGCGATGCCTTGGGGTTGTTAATTAAAAGGTTATTTTTGTAGTTTACGATGGAATCATTCAAACTGGCTTCAATCTCACTTATTGGAACTCTTGTTACATTTTTAGTGTTCTTATAATTTGCGTGTTGATTCTTCTTAGGAAATGGTGGTAATACCTGGATAGTTTTAATAAATGCTGTATTAATGAATCTGAAAGTCTCTGGTTTAGCATTATTCTTACCACTGCTGCTAGTTTTCAATGCTAGAAGTTCATTTGAGGGGGAGTATGCATATATTGTTCCTGTAATTGACTGGTCTAATAGCGTAGTCACCTTGACTTTCAAATTTATGATTTGGTCTAAATTATTCATGTGTAATGCAAATTTAAAATTATAACTTCAAAATAAGAATCGATGTGGAATCAAAACAAAACAAAAATGGGTTATATAAAATGATGTAAATGCTAGCTTAATTAATTAACAAAATAATCCATCTATCTGTCTGCTAGAGGTAGTTGTCCCAGCTTAAATTCATGTTTATAACTATTAGTATATTGAAAAATTTGATCCATAAATACGATCACGTGAGTTTATTGAATCACCTTAGATAACTCCCGTACATCGAACACAGCAATAGGAGTAAGGAAGTCGTCGGACTGATATACTCGTATATCATGCTGTTAAATGATGAAATCATGGAGGGTATGGTGGTATTCTAAGTTGCAACCATTTCTTCAATACTAAAAGGAACAAGTAGCCAGAAAATATATATCCTGTATATAATCCCTCATACATAGATATCAAATAATTAAACCCATACCAAAACTGATAAAATGGTGATTAATTAGGTTGCAATTTACGTCCAAGTATGTCTATGCAAGATGAACTTATTCTGATTGACCAACTTGAAGACCAGCTTATAGATAATCCAGATGCATCCACGAAAAAGGAGTTGTACGATACATCGCTAGATGAAACATTTCAAAAGAAGTTGAACGCGAGAGCAGAACAGATAGCTAATCAAAATAATGGAGTAGATAACGAAAATGATGCTCAAGGGAGGTCTATAGCTAACAATTACCTGTTTCTAGTCACTAAAACACACCTAGCTTATGAATATCGGGATTATAGGAGTTTGGATACAGAATTGAGTGAATGGTTTGCATTCAATGATTTCAGTTTGCTAGGAGGATTGCAACGAAATCTGGAAAACTATGATCTCGAGAAGAAATACTTGGATATCAGTGATATAGAAATGGTGGAACGTTGTATCTCTGATGTTGACTTGTATAATGGAAAATCATTAGGGTTAATATTATACTTCGCATTCGGAAAATATGGCGAATGTAAGGACAAGGAAGAGCAAATGCATTCAATTAAAGCCAATTGCAAAGCATTATTTGAATTAGGGCTATTTGAAAAATTGACTCTGATGTTGCAATCTTTCATTGATGAAAGAATAAAGATTGATGTCAAAAACGATTTTCACGAAGACTTGCCAATCGAAACTGAATCTGGCTACTTCAAAGCATTAACATTATTTTATTTTATTATTAACGTGATACTCGATGAAAAGAATATTAGTAACTGGAGAAAGTTACGTAAATCTCTTGCAAAATCTGATATAATATCAGACTTCGTTAGGTTTATCGAACACTGGAAATGGAACCAGAATAGGACTTATAAGGCCCGCTACTTATTCATGATAGTATGGAAATTGATTCTTATTGAGATGGGGGATAGCACCCATATATCTAAAGTGAACGACTTTTTGTTTGACATGCATGGAATAGTGAATAAACGTGGTAAGGATATCCCTACAAATAAACTTACCTGTTCTCCTTTAGATTATTTCACATTCAGAGAAGATTTGACTGATAGGTTTCCATTGTATAAAGATGATGAAATAAAGATGCTTCCAAAAAAGGACGTATATGAATTTAGTGCCTTAAAGGAAGCTTTAGAAGAAAATAATAAATCAATAGATAATGAATATCAGTATTTCATGTCCATGAATAGTCACTCCAATTCGTTGTCAAACTTACTTGAAAATCCAAGACCCAACAAATCCCATACAATTCTCAGCCAATTACCTGCGCAGACAGTACATATCGCCACACCAGTTCCATCACCACCTTCAGCTCCATCTGATTTTATGTCTGGTGGAGAAAAGATACGTAAACTGTATCAAACCAATCAAGGTATGCCATTTATTTATCCGAAAACCAATGAGGCAGAAGTACCTTACGCTATAAAAGAGGCCAGTGATATTTTAAAAAATTCGGTATATGAGAGTTATTCAAATAAACAGTTATGGAATGAAAGACAAAAGTTTATGATCCAAGAAAGAGGTTTTGTGAATGAATATGACGAAGGAAAATCATATCAATTCAATGAGTTTGACTATAATGATGAATTGTTTGAAAAATATCCTGAGAAAGAGGATGAGATTCATTCTCTCTTAAGAGTTGAGTCTTTCTATAAAAAGAATCTTAGTCGATTTCATTCTTTGATACTGATATTAATTGAAACTATGAAGTCGAATAGGCTAGATTACAACTTAAATTTTGCAGAGTGGGAATTAAACCCTGAGAGTTCATACTTCAATAATGGCAAAAATGTCGATAGGGAATCTAAGACCAAAATTGATTTCGTCTTGATGCAGCAACTTGAGGTATTAAATATTAAAGAGATTACGTTAAAAGCTACCAGTAGTATTATCTTTCTTTTACTCAAATGGTTTAAAACCAATCATGTATTGAAGTATTACTACTTTTCATCTATTTTGTTTGACGATCAGTATTTCAATGTATTATTTGAATACATGACCAGAGCTTTTAATAACAGCGATCTTCAAGAGTTCTATAATAATAAAGACGGAACTGATGAACTGGACAATGTTGCTGAGTACGAGATCTTAATAAACCAAAATCAGCTCATGAATCCACAAATAAAGTTACCAAGATTTGAATTTTTCAATAACTGCCTCAAAACTTCTCCACAAGATTATAAATATGAATTCATAAACAAGAGTTTAATACTGAAGTTGCCGAATGAAATTGATGCTAATAATATTAGTAACATAACTATCCAAAGGGTCAACGAAAACTTCTGCTTCATCTTGATAAATTTGCTCAACATCACCAACAAAATATTGATAAAAAATCTCACTCAGAGAATATTCACACTAAATGAATTGAAACCAACCGAAATATTCAAAATTATCCTACTTAATTATGATAACAAATTCATCAATAAGCCGATTCTAAAAATATTGAAAAAGTTGATCCCATATCAAGGAAGAAAATGGAAGTCCATTAATATGGACTTAATTTCCAAGGTATATCTCAATTGCAGATTGTCGCTAAGAGATAACTGGCTAAGCGGAAAGGACCTAGAGAATGATTTCAATAACTCTTTTGATCAAGAAATTGCCTTACGGGCATTATTGCAATTTTACAATATCAAAAATTACCCTCTTCAAATGGCAAGTCTTGGTTACCAAATTTCTACAGAAGATATTCCAAATCTAATATTAGATGGTAATTTGGAAAGCTATGATGTATGAATCGTATATATAATAATATTCATAATAATATCCATCAGTCGTATTACAGTATAAATATATAGGCATGAATATATAGTACTGGTAGTGTGTAAACCATTTTGAAAAGTTTTGACAAAGTTCGACTTCCGATACTTTGAAATGCTTGACACAGTATAGAAAGAGCAATACAATAGATTAATATAATATAATAGTAAAATAAAATGGTTAAATTAACTCAAATTGACGACGAGTCTGCCACCAGATTTGATCAAGGCCCAGCCGCTGCTCATGCAGCAAAAGAAGAAACTTTCAGTGATAGTGAAGCTTCCGATTCAGATTCCGACATAGACGACGACTTCGATGTTGAAAATGAAACTCTTCTCGATAGAATTGTTGCATTGAAAGATGTTATTCCACCACAACAAAGAACTCAAATTGTTTCTGCTGGTGAAATTATTAAAGACACATTATATTCTGGTTTCAACAAATCTGGTAACTTATTGTGGACTTTAACATCTTCTGCTTTATTACTTGGTGTTCCATTATCTTTGGCCATCTTAGCCGAAACACAATTACAAGAGATGGAAAAGGAAATGTCTTTACAACAATCAGCACAAGATGTGTTAGCCCCAGGTTCTGAAGAAGCTTTCAAGAACACTGAAAAGCCTGCCACTGCCTAATCAATCAAAGATTATTCAAAAACCTTGTATATAAAGAATTGAAATTTCTCTATCATATTTTTTTCCTTCATTATTCATTCGTTATTTATGGATTATCCAATGAATTATATACTTCTAAATGTACGAACATATATTAATTTAATGCAGTAGATTTATTAAAACAAGCTAACTATTGATCTAATCTAAATAAATGCCTCATAAATAATAACAATATTTCTAGGCTCTTTTATGCTTTATAGTTAAAGCATATATATCTAAATAGGAAGTGATTTCAGCAATAATCTCAGTGATGAAAAACGAATGGATGCCTAGAGTGAGTCCACAACCTAACCAACTAACGGCACCTAAGACTTTGTAGTAATCGTAGCCATAAATATCAATCGAGATCTTAGCCAATAATATTTGTATGACTGGCATGAACATTGGGTATTGTACCATTGGGAAAGATTGCAATGTCAAGTGAGCCAAAATAATTCTACCGACTGAGAATGCAATAGAACAACCAATAGAAATCACCAATGGGAAACCAAATTGCGAGATAGTTTCAGGATATAAGACAACAAGTAAGATAATGGCGGCATAATACCCAAAAAATGGAATTAAGCCTTTGTAAGCTTCTAAGGTGGCATTATTTGCTTTTGACAAATCACCGTCGGATTCAGAGGCGTACTTCTTGTTAACGTTTGCCATAGCAGATGAGATATTAAAGTATAATGATCCTAATCCAAGAACAACAATTATACTTGACGTATCAAGAATATAATGGTCGCTGTAGCCAATAGAGCTCAAGTCGAGTTCAACCAAGTTGATTGACCACAATTCACGCCCAAAGATCCCTGTCAAGATAAAGCACGCACAGATCATCAAAATACCTTCTACTGGACCACTGAACTCAGACAAGTACAAAGTATGGGTGTGATACTCTTCCCAGGTCGAAGTGTAGAAATTGCACACAGATGCAAACTGCGCGATGAGAAACAACCAACCGTATCCCAAGTTGAACACCGATCCAAATACAATCGTACCCAATGTGGTATTGATTGCATCCACAGAGTGATCAAATAACTCTCCTAATGGTCCACTTTGACCAGTTCTTCTAGCGTGGCACCCATCACACCCATCGAACGTCTGGTACATAAACAACCCAAACGCATAGAAGAAGTAGCACCATCTAGGCGACGCTTCGTCCAAATAAGGATCGTAGTAAAACACACACAACAAGTTCAACACAATAAACCCTAATCCAAGTAATGTCACCGCGTTTGGCGCCATTGAAAGCGGAAAGATCTCCACAAACGAGTTCCACCATTTCTTCAAGATGTACTTCGAAATGATCGAATGATCCTCCGACGAGTACTTATAAAGCTTTAAATTCTCTAATTTGTTTTCTGAGATGAATAGACCCATGTTCTAATACGTACTCAACCTATAATAACTCCAATTGAGACTACTTCCCCTTTGTTTTATATACTCTGACCCTCTATGTATCGTGAAAAAATCAGTTCTGATTAGAGCACGTGCAAATGATCTTCCCTTCCTTCCTGTGCAATATAATTTGGAGTAGTTTCACGCGTTCGACTTTTGATTGCGCCAGCATGTTTTGTATCCCCCCTCCTCGCTCTTCGCTCTTCGCCGTTCGCATTTGTTTCAACCTTCCCGTATCTTCTCACATCCCCCCACCACGTATTCGTGACGTTCACACAATCTCTATTACAACCACTTACACACAAATAATGTCTCATGTGTTCCTGCCAGTATCTTGTAACATGACTGTCTGTCGCTTCTCTAATATCGGACTGTCACATCTTGAACGCTGATTCAACGTACTCAGCCAAGAACTAACGAAACGATCCAGCAGCTAATGCGGCTGTCCTATTGTTAAAATAAATATTATGTAATTACGTACTATTGTCTAAATAGCCGTCGTCATGACTTTGTTTACACCAAAATGAGAATAGTCAACCTATCTCGTATGTACGGTATAAGCCAACCAGAAGGGTCTATGCAAGACGCAGTACGTACGGTCTGCCCATGACCAAATTGTAGGCAAGTTTTGAAATGGAGGCATGATAAAGCATATCTACAATCTTTCCGATGTACGGTCCTACTGCAATGTATACTTACCGACATAAAATCATGACTGGGTTTGGCAGATTAATTAGTTATCTAGACCATTTGCAAGCGATATATGAATATTTGAGTCATTAGTGGACGTTCGTTATCAGCCTCGAGCGTCAAAGGTATAACAAAACACCGGTTATGGTCGGTGGTACTTAGTGCGTAAATATGTATAAATAGACAAGCCATTCCTTCTTATGGAATATGGGATATAATTCAATACACAATACGGTGTAACAATAATTACGCAAATTATTTAAATATTTAATTTTATTATTAGAAGTAAATACATACAAAGAATATTATTCCAGCCAATATGTCTATGCATTCAGCAGAATCGTTTGACCCAGATAATTATAAGAGACAGAACCCAGGACCTAGTCAATTGAGACAGGATACATACGAGGGTGAACCTGAATTTCAAAAGCCAGCTCCAGTAGTCAATCATGAACCGGGTGTAAAGCCAGAAATGGTTATGAAAAACTTTGCTAGAAATTATGAAACTCCAAAGGCCAGCGGATACCAATCGTTTATTAGTAGGCTTGGATCAATGTTTGGTGCATGTGGGGCGTACTGTTGTCTTTGTTCCAATCCATATAAGGAAGTTCAACAAGGTGAAGTTGGTTTAGTCCAAACATTCGGTGCTTTGTCGAGAACTGTCGAGCCAGGTCTTACCTACGTTAATACTTGGTCAGAGAAGTTGACGAGAGTGAATATCAAGGTGATTATTCGTGAGATTCCAGCACAACGTTGTTTCACCAAGGATAATGTGAGTGTGGTTATCACGTCCGTGGTATACTATAACATCATTGACCCACAGAAAGCTATTTACTCTATTTCGGATATACACAATGCTATCGTGGAAAGAACCCAGACCACTTTGAGAGACGTGATTGGATGCAGAGCATTGCAAGATGTTGTTGAAAAGAGAGAAGAAATTGCCGAATCGATCGAGGGTGTCATTGCCAAGACTGCATTCGACTGGGGTGTCAACATTGAATCTATTTTGATCAAGGACTTACAATTACAAGAGAAGGTCCAGGCTTCGTTATCTATGGCTGCTGAAGCCAAGAGAATTGGTGAAGGTAAGATCATCAATGCTAAGGCTGAAGTTGAAAGTGCCAAGTTAATGAGAAAAGCTGCTGACATCTTGGCTTCCAAACCAGCTATGCAAATCAGATACTTGGATGCTATGCAAAACATGGCTAAATCTCCAGGCTCAAGAGTTATTTTCATGCCTTCTGCTCAAGAAATTGAGAGAATGGCGGGTTCCAATGTATCCAATGGAGCTGGTGAACTTCCAAGTAACAGGAACTTAGAAGAAGACACCAATTGGACATCGAATAACCCAACTGGTTCATTTGCTGCTCCTCGTACTCAAAGACAACAGCATGTTGACACTTTAGCGTTGCAAGAAGCAATGAGAGAAGATTAGTTTTAATTCATCAGTGCATTAGTTATAGTTTTACAATTGTAGTTTTACGTTATAGTTCTACCTACTTATTTTTTCATCATTTTATGTGTGTCGTTCATTTATTTATGGTAATTCAATTGTCATATCTATTCCAATATCGCTTTTTATATTCACGAATATCATCTGAGGTAACTCTGCTCTTGATTAAATTTTTCAACTTACCTATTAACTGATTTTGTTCGTCCTTTTCGTTTGATTTATAGTTCAATACATGCATACTAAATCCAGTGTTACGCGTAGTTACCTTAGGTTCACTTGTTTTATTCTTTCCAGGAAGTTCACTCGTCTCTCCACGGTTATCTTCTTGGCTCTGTATTGTACCTTGGGGAATATCATTTGCATCGCTTCGTCTTTCTCTAAATTGCAAAAGTTTCGAATAAAATTGTGCATTATTTGGCTCCTCATCCTCAACAAGCTCTTCTTCCTTCATTTTCAAAACTTCTTCCTTCTGTTTCTTATAATCCTCGCTTTCGAATACTATTGCATCTTTATTTTCTTCTATCTGCTTGTTTGTATACTCTTGTCTTGATAGTATGCGATCTTTTGCTCGTTGCTTTTTCGATTCTAATAATCTATTGATATATTTCAGCCCTTCAACTTTTGGTCTCGGTTTATTTTTCAGATCAGGTTCTTCTATCTCTGATATTATGTCAACTATGTCTGTCTGTTTATCTTCAGACAATTGTTTCGCTATCTTCTGCGATTTGGTTTGAATGGACTTCTCAAAGGTCATTTCTTCAGATTCAGACTCACTACTCCCATTTTGGCCACTATTAAACCCAAACCCATTTGCTCGTGGTTTCTTCAAGACTGGTTTATTAGCTGATCCCTTTCTTTTCAAATTTATGTTCATACTGTCCAAGCTTAATCTGTATCATTTAAGTAAGCATTCTCCCATATAATTTTACGTGCGCACATATTTGATAGTTGTTAAAATTAATCTATTATTGACAATTATACTATATTATCTACGAGATTACTACCATAAAAACCTACAATCAGTCGTCTAATTCCATAGGTTTTTTGCTTAATAGTAAAAATTGAATATTATGAATGGTTCCGGTTTTGATTGGTTAAATATAAAACCAAGTAACAGTGAGTCGAACTCTCCGGCACCGCCCGTGTCTTTTGGGTTCAACAGCAACAGTGATCTTAATTTTAAAAATAATAGTGGTCCCTTTGATAGATCTAGTACTGCTAATTCATACAAGTATTCCAATGCTCTGGCGGATCAGTTGCCTTATTCGTCACCATCGTACCCTAATAATCAGAGCAACATGGGGAATTATGACGACGATGAAGCTAGTATACCACTATCATTAACTGCTCAAGACTTAACGTTGGAAGAGTCCAAGACGTATATGAGATGGTATAGTGATATACTAGCTCGAACAAATTCAAGAACAGTTTCAATGAATGATGTTTACAGTTTTCTACACAACTTTAAAATTTCAGATTCGATAAAGGACAAATTACGAAAAATATTCAATAAGATATTACATTCTATAAACATTGGAGAATTTTTTGCATTACTAAGATTGATTTCGCATGCTTTGAATGGCTTAGAACCTAGTCGGAGGTTAATCAAAGTGCAAACTTCAGTTCCTACACCCCCATCAATTTTGAGTAAGAAAAGACAAAGTGACGACGACGACGAAAGTAGCAATAACGATAATGATAACGATTCTTTACGAGCCGAAGAAAAAGATGAAGGCAAGCCGTTAGATTTGGATAGCTTTACCCAGTTCATGCTAACAGGTGAGAGGCCAGGTGAGGTCAATCATAAAAAGAAAAAATCAAAGAAAGTTAAATTCTCTGACCAAATAGTAACTGATATCCATGATTCAGTGGTTTTAAATTCCCCCATTCCCTCTCCTCAACCTCAACAGATTGATTATTCTTTGCCAATGGATCAGTTATTGGGCAAGATCAATCAGTCACAATCGGCACAGCAACCCACTCATCAAAACGATGAAGAGGAGCGGGAAATTTTAAAAGACATGGAATCTCAAATAAACCATTTCCAGAATTTACATTCTGTCGATACTGCATCAATAGATGGTGTTCCTGCGAATATTCATTTCCACGATGGCTACAGTCAAGATAACTTATTAGCACCCAATAATACAGGGCCAGCACAGATGGCAAGATTTTTCAGCCCTTCTCCTCAGCCTGACCAACAGCAACAACAACAACAACAAGATTATTTGAAACCCAATATGACTGGACCTGCCCAGATGGCTAGATATTTCAGTCCATCTCCACAACCAGAGCAGCAAAATCAACAGCAACAAGCATACCTAAAACCCAATATGACTGGTCCTGCCCAAATATCTCAAATGTATAATAGGAGCTCTATTGATAATAGAAATGATGAAAATACTTCATCAATGCCGCATGTTTCAGACCCAAGTGATATGGCCAAATTATTTGCTCCAAACAGTTCAGATACTGAATCAACTCCTAAGATATCTTTACAATCATTCACCAACCAAATGACGGGTAATACATTATCGAATACCCTCCAAAACTCGCGAGTTTCAGATAACGGATCGCCGTCAAAGTTTGGTGGATCATACAATAACCGATCTTTACCACCTCCTCCTGTCCCTAACAACAGAAGATCCAGATCAGCATCTTCCCCTACACCGAGAAATAGCTCCCCTGCATTTCAGCTGTCTACCAATTATGATCTGAACTATACTACGAACCACCTAGGCACTCTGAACAACCACTCCGCGCCACTCCCACCTGTTCCCCCAAGATCACCCTTATCAAACAACGCAATGAACGGAACTAATAGCAAAAGGCCGGTGCCTCCTCCACCTCCTCCATCAAGGAAACGAAACACATCGACAGGTGCAAACAATATGATATCCAGTTCGTCTCCACCCCCACTACCACCCAAGGTGTCTTTAAATGGTCAGGTGCAAGAAAACGACGTTTCGGGAGTATATGCGAATAACTCCAATAATGATAGCACGGCCAATATATTAGACGATTTAAAAGCATTACAGGAGGAAGTTGATAAAATTAGAAACATGACTGGTGGGTTCTAGCTAATCCACGTTCATTTTTGCTTCTATACTTTTATAAATTATATAGAGTGTTGCATACACGTTTATAAATTTGCAATCAGTTTCTAACAGTAAATATATACAAACTTAGGAAGCACGAATTTCTTAGAAGAGAAGTTATCAACAAGCACTAATAGGAGCTAAGAATCATTTTGACATTTAGAAGTGGCTTCACTAGCTCAGTTGGCAGAGCGTCAGTCTCATAGTTAATTAACTGTGTCATCTGAAGGTCGACAGTTCGAACCTGCCGTGGAGCATTTCTTTTTTTGGATTCCTTTTTTTCTTTGTTACACAAAAACGTGTTCTGTGGTTTTTGAAATTCTCCTTTGTTTACATTTGGATAGTTAAAGATTAACATCACTAAGCATTGTATATAACATATACATAGACAATAATTCATCTAAGACTTGCACTTATAGTCTAACTCAATTCAACAGTCAATCGAAGAAATTTTGAAGTATTAAGGAGGCTGTCTAAGTTCAGAGTCTATCCTTTCTTATCATCATCAATCGCTCAAATATACACAAATTATATCACCTATGTCATATTCACATATTGAAATATAATGCCACTTAATGATATAACGCCGTCCAGTAACATACCTAAGCTGTCTAACGGTAAGAAACGTTTTATGGACGCACAAGATGATGATAACACATTTTTACCACCTGCTTTAAGTTCATATAGCATAGCATTATTAAATGAAAGAACAAAACAGCTGCCTTCACAAATAACAGGGATCTATGAATTTGACTTTCCCAATAGTCGATCGAAGAATAACTTGAAAAACAAATTATCAGTTCATTTCAGAGAAGCGGAACCAATCAACCCTATAGAGAAACCAAGCACGCCATATTCTAGTCACGGCAATAATTCAATCATACCCACCAGCATTCCAAACGATAATAAAAGCTATAATATTAGTCATAGCATCACAACCGCTAATTCGCACAATCAGAATCAAAACAATGCTTCAGCCCACAACTCATTTAATTTGTCAACAAATAACTTCAGTTCACATACACATAATACAACTTCAGAATATAATGATGATTTAATGGATATATCTCCACATGAATCTACGTCGAGAAATTCATCCAATCATACACCTTCTACTACATTTAATGAAAATGCTCCTCCAAGCTCGTCGTCCCAAACAAAGTCAAATGTTTCACAAGTTCATACTCTAAAGAGAATGAGAGGAACGAGAAGATTTGGAAGGATATTAGGACCACCTAAAAGAGCCTTGAAATTAAGTGAAGAAAGAAATATGCAAGCTGAATATGACGGTATATCTACTAATGAACCTAATAAATTACAATTCTCGCATGACAAAGCTCTTTCTACTACTAATGATGACAATAATGATAATAATAATAACACTAATACTACCAGTAATAATAACAAGATTAATAATAATGCATTATCAACACCTCCACCCTTATTCACGACAGACTTTTCCCCAAAACCTAATCGCATCGATAACTTAAGAGAGAAGAATACAGAATCAGTATTTTTCAAAACATTAAAAAAAATGAAATCTGAATCTCCAGGTGATGATATTATCTCGAAGCAAAAAGAATCTGAATTGCGTAGACGAATTGATGAACAGAAAAAGATAAACGAAATAGAGAGCCAGTTATCCAAATCCAAAAGTATTCAAGATATTGAAATGGAAATAAGTGAGTTAAATAATTCGAGGCATGAAGAAAACGATAACCTGGATAGAAAGGGGTTTATTTCTTCGTATTTGGCAGATACAAATGAAGAAGGAAATAAAGAAAATATAAACTCAACTTCGAAGGAATCTAATATATCTATAAAGAATGAACAACCAAGACAACCGTTCAATAATGTGTCTCCGAATCATCTTAACAGAATTGCAACAGATGAGGCAGATTTCAGAAAACCTAAATTGCCCAAACCAATTGTACAGCAATCACAAATGACTCCCCCTAGTAGTTCAGATGATCACAAAAGGAAGAAATGTATTAGTATAAATGGAAATCAATATGAAAAATTAGAGTTATTGGGTAGAGGAGGATCGTCGAAGGTTTATAAAGTCAAGTCTTTGTCCAACAATAAGCTATTTGCTATTAAAAAGGTGACGTTTGATCAATTTGATGACCTATGTGTACAGGGATTTAAAGGAGAGATTGATTTGTTGTTGAAATTGAAGGATGCGGATAGAGTGGTCAAATTAGTTGATCATGCTATCGGTGAGGGTTCTATCTATTTAGTGATGGAATGTGGTGATATTGATTTAGCACATGTCTTTCAGAATAAGCTAAGCATGAATAATGTTTTGGATATTAATTTTGTCAAATATCATTCAATCGAGATTTTAAAATGTGTTCAAGCGGTGCATAGAGCAGGAATAGTTCATAGTGACCTTAAACCTGCTAATTTCTTATTTATTAGAGGTATCTTGAAGATTATTGATTTTGGAATAGCGAATGCTGTACCTGATCACACAGCAAATATTTACCGTGAATCACAAATTGGTACACCGAACTATATGGCACCTGAGGCATTAGTTGAAGTTAGCCAAGCCTTTCCAGGTTTACCTGTACCAAATAACAATAATAATCAGCAACAATCTTATGGACTGCAAAGAAATACATGGAAAGTAGGAAAGCCGTCAGATGTTTGGTCGTGTGGCTGTATAATATATCAAATGATTTATGGCAAACCCCCATATGGTGGATACTCCGGTAATCAAAGAGTGATGGCAATCATGAATCCCCAAGTAAAAATACAATATCCAGGTAAAGGCATAGGTAATATAAAGGTTCCCCAAAGTGCAATTGAATTGATGCAAAAGTGCCTAACTAGAAATCCCAATGAAAGATGGACTGTAGAACAGTGTTTAAATAGTGATTTTTTGAATCCTAAGATTGTAAGTGAAACTTTCGTTAGGGACTTAGTTCATCTGGCTGTTAATTTTGGCCATAATAATCGTGTTAATGGCAACGGCTTGATTACGGCAGACGTCTACGATCGCTTGGTCGATACCGTTTTGAAACAAATTGAAGATTTGAATTTCGGTTAACTTTAATAATGTACTTTTACTATTACAATGTATAAATTTATATAGCATCTTTTATTGGTCAGTTGACTATTTAATAATAAAGAAACTTTCAACTAATAATATTGTAAAAAAGGAGAAATCTGGTCTATTCTTTTTGTAGTGGGAAGAAGAGGGAAAAGTTTCATATTTAGAGTAATAGTAATATACAAGAAAATAAGCAACAATAATTAACGAGGTCCTAATTTTTCCAACACGCGAGTTCCTTGTTCTTCCCATTCTTGTTTCGTGATCCACATATGTTCTTTATCTGCCATAATATTAGCTAAAACTGCACCACCGATAAATACCATATGTCTTCTCCTTGGTGGGTCCTCAATTCTGACCTTGAATTTATCTAATCTTGTGGCATCACCATGCAATACCTTAGTCAACCATAATTGCTTCAATTCTTTTTCTAAACGTGATGGTAAACCAGGATACATAGAAGAACCACCAGACAAAACGATGGCCTTAAAAAGAGATGTTCTAACGTCAACATCTGCTGATTGAATAGTATTGAATAATGTTTCACCAACACCGGGTTGTTCAACGTCAACTAAATTTGGTTGGAATAAACACTCTGGCGCTTCAAATCTTTCGGATCCAACCTTAATAACTCTACCATCAGGCAATTCATATGATTCGACCAACGTAGTAGTTTCACGTGCAAGCTTTGAATCAAGATCTAAGTCATAAGAAACGTAGCACAACTTTTCTTTGATTTGACGAACAGTTTCAAAATCGGCTGTTCTGTTGAATGCATAACCACGACGTAACAATAAGTTAATCAAGTTTCTGGTGACGTCCCTACCGGCGACATCTAATCTCTTGGTCAAATGGTTCAAAACAACCGATTCGTACACTGGAACAATATGAGTGACCCCATCACCAGAATCGACAACTACACCAGAACTCAAACCTTGAGCATATAAAGCTAACACTGCCTGGATTGCTACATAAACGCCTCCAAATTGATATTTTTCAAACATAACGTCACACATTGTTTCTCTATTCTTCAACGGATTCATTGGTGGTTCGGTTAACAAGATCTTTTCTCCTTGTGTAGGTAACTTCATTCTTTCGTAAAATGCATAATCCCACAAGTGTTCCATATCTTCCCAGTTCTTAATGATCCCATTCTCCATAGGATAGCTAATTTGTAACAATGATCTCACTTCACTAGCTTCTGACCCGCACATAATATCTTTAATTTCTATATTGTCAGGAACCAATATATTCCTTTCTTCGGCTCTCAATATTGGCCTACCAACTATAGATGGAAATGTGTGGTCTGGGAAGTTAGTTCCTGCCCTACCGATCTTTACGAAACCTGTACCCTGGTCAAGAACTATTTTTCATATTGTTAGTAAATTATGCTTTTTAATGTAAATTAATCAAACATTGAGGTCACACATACCAATTGGTTGTCCATTCATCTTTGTAGTCTTCTATCGTATAGTCTTTGTATCAATCTAAATCAAATTAGAAGTAATTGACATAAGAGTAGGATCTACGATATCAGGGTACGTAATGACAAAAGGAGTTACCATAATTTGTGGTATGCGCACTACTCGATATATAGTATTACTATTATCTATTAGGTACATATAGGGACTATTATACAGAGTTGTTCAATCTTACATTAGGATTCATATAGGCAAAGGTCAAATATGAAGTATGGCTCTTGATTTCAGTCTCAATCTTGGTGACATTTCTCCATTGGAATTGTTCATCTCCTTCTCTAACACGCAAACCCTTTCCAAATGGGTTAAAGCCTTTTCCCAAGTTTTGGAATTTGGTTGGTTCGGGGGTGGAGTCATCAGCTGTTTCCACATCTTTGATGTCTCTTTTATCGCCCACATTGTGGTTTTTACTGTTTTTTCTATGTTCAATGCCCTGGTGTTTTCTAGTTTGTATATCCTTCAATCTCTTAACTACGTCCTTGACGTCCTTTACCATATCTTTTCTGGCCTCCCATCTTCTACCTGCAACTTCTACCATTTCGATATTGGTCCAACCTTCGGCTTCCAATGCTTTGACAGTTTTCTCGACTTGTTCGATACATGGGGAGAAACAACAGATGCCCACACGGCTCTCGTGGGAAATTACATTTTTCAAATTAGGAATGGCGGTCCAAGGAGATGGTAAATCAAGGAATACCACATCACCACAGATTCCGCCATTTTTCTGGAAGTCTTCTGGTATGTTTTGGATTTCAAATCCATCGTTGCAGACATCTCGATGTGTGATAATCGTATTGGCTAACAATCCATGGTCTTCGAGCTCTTTTCTGGCCTCTATGTAACGTGGTTCATGAAACTCATATGTGAATAATCTTCCCTCTAGCCCAACTGTTCTGGCAAATGAATGAGAAAAGGATCCTGACCCTGTTCCTGCCTCAATGATTCTACTTCCACTAGTAACATTCAATCTCTGTATAATATAGGACGAATCTGTTGTATACACAATTTGAGTTCTATGCGGTAAAGAAACAGTCCAAAGTTCTGGAGTAGGGTATAACAAGTGGATGAACCCAACTCCTCTAGCACCAGGCATCTGTTCACCATACTTCATCCCAATCATTCTATCATGCTCGAAATTACCATATCTGGTATTCAACTGTGATCCCTTTGTTACGGTAATAGGCTTGATATTATTTCTGCCAAGGAATGCCAAAACTAAGTCTCCTTCCTCTATTATATCTTTATACTCAAAAAATGACATGACTATTCTACTATTGTCTCTAAGTGGGTATCAGCTACCATATTTTACATCCATAATAAATAATTTTTCACATCATCAAGATGGAGTCCTGCACATAATTATCAATATCATTTCCAACTACCAGAAGAAGTTAGTGTAAAATAGAGTTATTCTAGTCGAAAGTATGTTCAACTAGTAGAAATGTAGAGTTTTAAGGTTCTTGAACGTTTTTCTGAAGATACAAGGGTCTGTTTTCTTTATATGACCCATGTAGAAACACCATATGTCATTCTATAAAATCCATTTCAAAACACACATTTCTTAACTGTAACAAATTTATCAAGCTCCCCTATTTATCATATGAAAATCTATCCGTAACAAGTCCTATTGAATGCCCATAAGTGTAATAACCTCGATTCAACATCATTTGCAGTAATTAGATAAGGTCGTGTGATTATCATCAAAAACTACAACGAAAATTTGAACAACGCTGACTGAACCTTTAGAAGGAACTCCTCTAATAAGGCTAATTAATATTGTGAATATTGAATCAAAGTACTTATAAACCAACAGCCATTGGCGATTGAATATATTATTTACATACATTTGAAATATAAATAAATTTACCGTTATGTCTAACTCGCCAATACCACCTCAACAATCACAGCAACAAGCGGATCCATTGGCACCAAACGTTGAAGATTTGTATCTTGAATCATACGCATTTACCACTGCAGCAGCTATTGTTGGGTCGGTTGATAGAAAAATATTTGTTTTATTGAGAGACGGAAGAAATTTGTTCGGAATTTTAAGAACATTTGATCAGTTTGCTAATTTAGTGCTACAAGATACCATAGAGAGAATCTACTTGGATTCAGACAATGAGACCGAAGATTCCCGTCCAAAGAAGTTTGGTGAAGCGTACAGGGGTGTCTTCATGGTGAGAGGTGAAAATGTTGTTATGATGGGAGAATTGGACATTGACAGAGAAGATGATCACTTGGAAGAATTACAGCAAGTTTCATTCGAAGAAGCTGAAAAAGAGTTAAAAATTCGTCACCAGAATAAGGTGAAACAAGAAAAGCTCAAAACTAAGAAATTATTGTCAAAGGGACTTATTAATGATTTTGTCAAATCTGATTTGTATTAATAATTTCACTTCTTGCATTGTATGACTTGTATAACTCCTTCTTTTCTTCACCTTATTTAATTCACTAGATATACTTAAGTTTAAACGTCTACATTTTGGTTTTGCTTTTTTTTTTTGGCACTCATGCATTTCTTCTCTTCACGTAATAAATAAGACAAGAGACCGATATGATTTTAATGTAATGGCATATATATAGAGTTTAAAATGTTTATAACTTCGACAAATTCTTATAGTTTTGATCAAATTTGGCAAAAAATTCATCTGCAAATTTAAACTTCTTGGCCTCCTGTCTTGCTAATTGGTTTAAATGGGCTTCATCAGGACCATCAGCAATTCTCAATGTTCTTGAAATTGCGTATAATCTGGCCAATTCAGTATCCTGTGATACCCCTTCAGCACCAAACATTTGAATGCCCCAGTCCAAGATTTTCAAAATAGTTCTTGGTGTTTCAATTTTAGCCATCGCGATTTCTTGTTGAGCATTCTTTGGATTCAGAATGTCAATCTTATGGGCAGCATTCAAAATCAAAAGTCTGCATTTTTGTATATCAATCTTGTGTTGAGCATAAGCAGTAATAAATGTTTCTCTTTGGTTCATTGGTTTTCCAAAAATCATCCTGTTATTAGCTCTATGGGCAACTGCAAGTAATGCATACTCCCCAACCCCAATTAATCTCATACAATGGTGAATTCTACCAGGACCTAAACGTGATTGTATTAATTCAAATCCTTTACCTTCAGACGCAAGCAAGATGTTTTTCATGTCCTCCTTTGGAATTTCATAGTCATTGAATTCAATTTCACAGTGACCATGAGGTGCATCATCGTATCCAAATACCGTCAATGGACGAATCACATTGGCCTTGCCTGAATCAATTGCCTTTTTAGCATCCAATACCAACACAGAATGATTGTGGTACAAATCTTTAGTGCTATCGCTAGTTTTACACATCACTAACCACACAGCTGTTCTAGGGTCACCTGCGCCAGAAGCAAACCACTTTACACCGTTGATAACGTAATTACCATTTGAATTCAACTTGGCCGTGCAAGAAATATTCAACGCATTCGATGAAGATGTCCCTTTTTCTGTCATCAAGAATGCTGATCTAATTTCCCCATCTAACAACCTCTTCAACCATTTTTCCTTCTGATATGGTGTTCCATATCTTGCAAACAACTCCATATTCCCCGTGTCTGGCGCATTAGTATTAGTGGCCTCTGGGGCGACAAATGATCGTCCCAAGTATTGTGCCATCAACCCATACTCTAAATTCGTAAAGCCAGGACCCTCGGGATAATGTTTAGACAAGAACATGTTCCAAAGACCCAATTCCCTAGCCTTCTTCTTAAGTTTCTCCGTAATCTCCGGAATAACCTTCCATCTCGTAGCTGGGTCATTAGACATCTGTTGAGCGTGCAACTTATCCCCTGGAAGACAATAATCATCCACAAAGTCCTTACATCTTTGGATCGTTTCTAACCCTCTGGGGGACAACTTGTCCAAAAATATAGCTGGAATATCGTCCTTAACTGACATTATTACTTGTTCCTTATATAACTCAATTGTTGTATAGAATACCTCCTACCATTGGCCTTTTGTAATTCTGTCCTTCGTCCCCACATATTTTTCATAAATCATAACCTGTAAATAGCATATGAACCGATCCCGAGGTGTTTACAGGTTAGCACTCAATCAGAATATCATCAAATATTCGCCTTCACTATGGAAAACAAGCATTACAATAGATATACAACCATCACGTTGAATCTATAAACAATTTAGTTAATTAATATACAAAATGGAGTATTTTGAATCAGATGTTCCTAATATCCCTGATCACAAGTTATCAGAAAAGCAATTTCTTTTGAGCACGAACATCGATGCTCGCCACCGAAAGGAAATCATGAATGAATTGATTGAATCGATCAAAGAAGAAAATTTAGCTCCGTACTATAAGTACTTACAAGGTGAATACAGTGACTTTCCATTTGATGAATCCGTATATAAATCAATGGTTGAAAAAAATGAAGAGGAGATTGCACAATTAACCCTGAAGATCAAGGAAGCAGAAGGAGAAGAGGAAACAGAGCTCGATGCATTGACTTGTAACGTCAACCTTGCGGAATATTATACCAAAATATGTGATAGACAGAATGCAGTGACTGCTTATAAAAAGGCGTTGGAATTGCCCCAGGGAACCGGATCGAAAATTGACATTTTATTGTCATTAGCAAGAATTGAATTTTTTTACAGTGACTATGGGTTGGTATCCAAGTATTTGGACCAAGTCAAAACCCATATAGATAAGGGTGGTGACTGGGAACGTCGTAACCGTTATAAGACGTACCGTGGTATCTTTTTGATGGCTACCAGAGACTTTGCTGAGGCTTCTAAATTATTGAACGATTCGTTAGCCACCTTCACATCGACCGAAATCTGCAGTTACGAGCAACTTGCGCTTTATGCGGTTGTATCAGGTGCTGTAGCATTAGACAGAGGCGACTTGAAATCGAAGATAATCGACTCTCCTGAAATCTTATCTATCTATTCATCTGCACCAGAATTGGAGCCACTCATCAATCTTACCAATTCTTTATACACATGTCAATATGACTGCTTTTTCCAATATTTACTCGAATCGTACGATAAGTTATTGCTTTCGTGCAAGTATTTGAACCAGCATGCCAATTATATCTTACGTGAAATGAGATGCAAAGCATATGGTCAATTATTGGAAAGTTACAAATCCTTATCTTTGAAATCTATGGCACGTAATTTCAACATCAGCGAGGAATTCTTGGATCAAGATTTATGCAAATTCATCCCAAATAAAAAGTTGAATTGTACCATCGATAAGGTCAACGGAATCATCGAAACAAACAGACCCGATAACAAAAACAATCAATATCACTTGTTAATCAAGCAAGGTGATAACTTGTTAACCAAATTGCAAAAATACGGTGCTGCTGTTAAGTTAAGTGGTGCTGAACGTGTTGCGTAAATATATCTTTTCATCTCCATTACATAGATAGAATAGATGCCATTATTAATAGGAAGTTTTGTAGGTATTAGAGGTGTTATATTTCCAACATTAATAGGGTGTAGTCGCAAGGTT